TGTGAATCGTGGTAGTCAAGGTGAGTATTTTGACTGTAATGAGAGACCAAGGGAAACCACTGGTGGAAACACCAGAGGGTGTCGGGGTGGTCACATGGCTCCCTGAGGCAGGTTCTTTGGGGATGGTAGAAGAAATCCGGATGATTCCGACTCTGATAACCGCTCTAATGATGATGCCAATTCCCTACCCGATATCACCCCCTTTCTGGGACCATGTCACGACGGCTGGAGTGATGAGAAGATGGACCGATATAACCTTCGGGCAGGAGCACTACAAGAACCATTGCAAAACCAATCTTACTCCTTGTTGCATTCAGGACGAAGGAAGCCACAGAGGTTAAGTGGCATTCCTACATTCAAAGGAGTGATTGCAGATCTGGCGAGTTTCCTGACCTTGGTCGAAGTCAAGTTTGAATACTTTTCTGATTGTTATCTGATAGACATAGATAAGATCAACTTGGTCATACCTCTTCGCAAAGACCAACCCTGCAACTGGTACCTAGCGATATATGGGTACATCAATCGTGAAGGTGCTAAGCAAGTAGGCATGCTGTTCAACAAGAAGGGTCCGCTCCGAACATGGAAGGGTTTCCGTGAAAGATTGGAGTAGAGTCATGGCGGGGATAATGTTAACAGGGATATGAATCTTCTGGCATGGAATAACGTGGTAATTACCCCCCACTAGAGCAGTCCCTACCCAGACAAGATAATCGATCTGATGTACAAGCTGAATTACACAGACCATCAACAGGTAGAGGATAAGGTTAGGGCTGGGATAACGTCTGAGCTTCGGAAAACCTGGGCATTAAACACGCCGCAGCCTGAAGCTCTTAACAATTACCTAGATTTACTTCGACAAGTGGGTCATAACTTGGAACATGATAAGCATTTTGGTCATCTCAACGATGATAAATCTCTGAAGCCACGAGAAAAACGAGGAAAGCAATCTTCGAAACCTATGGACAGGTTAAAAAAGAAAGAGAAATGTTCGGGTTGGTGAGACAACCAACCGTGGAAGACCACTAATGTGGGTGCCAGAAAGCAGGCTGGGACATCTGAGTATGCTATTCCTCATTAGGACATTCCCAAGAACCTGACCAAGAAGAGACGCAACAATAAGCAATGTACTAAGTATGGGAGGGAAGGACACTTCTGGAGACACTGTTCAGCAACCTCCCCCATCATTTAAGCTGTGAGGAATACCCTGGGAGTGAAATGGTGATTGCCAGAGGGGGAATCCTCTACGAGTGGCAAGAAACAAATGAAGCATATTGAAGCATCTCATCCACTGCCATCTGGCCCCAAGCTTTTAGAAGCCCACAAATCCTCACCTACCTTTATGGAGGCAGATACGCGTGATGAACTAGGTATGAACCTAATCCTATGAAGGAATGACCTCGGCTAATTTTCTAGATCTACTAACATCTGATGGAAAATAAAGGGTCACTCAAGGAAACGGATTTAAGGTAAGGACCTATCCACGATTACTAGCTCTTTAGTGCTGACGAAGTCTCTGATATAGGAATGTCGGGAGACTACCTCGTTAGGTAGATGTTACAGTCATGTGCGGTGTTTGGTTTTTTCATTTGGTTCCTGGGTTCAGTTATTTCTCATAGAAAATTATGTAAATGCATGTGGGAGATGTTTTGGGGAAACTACTTGCAGGTTTTTCTTTGATAAACATTCTGCTCCGGGGAGTCGCTTCAGAAAATGGGAACCGTGCGACATTCGGATGGGGCACAAAGATGCCCTGTTTGGCACCGGTTGACTGGACATCTCTGGAGAGCAAATGTATTTTCTTGTCTTATATGGGTCATTTGTCTTGTACTTGGAATTGGCTCAAGTTATTAGTCTTGAATAAAAGTTATCTTTCAAGTTTACCTGAGGAGGGTTGAATACCCAAAATCATGCTGGCGTAATAGTAAACCGTACTCCAATCCCATTAATTGATTAAAACTATTCTTGAAAACGTTACCGACCCGTTGTGGCCACTCTTGTGTTGACAGGAAACAGACTAGCAAGAATGAGTTCTAAGAGACAACGTAAGAAGGCAAGGCACTCTAGCCCACCCAAGCATAGCAAGTCAATTCACTTACGAGTGATATTAGATTGGCACATAGGGTGTAGGTAAGTAAGTGCCGAAGCATCATTACTATTAGATAGTGGAGCTACAGGCCCCGTGCTAAGTAGCCGATGGGTTAAAAGTACCCAAGCTCCTTGTTTGAAAAGAAGAATTCACACTCCAATACGTGATGCAAGTGGTAATCACATACCAGGGTCGGGTCTTCATTATACCAAGGCTTGTATCTGAAGATAGGCAATCACGTGAAGGGTCTGCGTTTTGAGGTAGCAGATATGGCTGACACTTGTGTCGATGGCAATCTACCTATGTCGTGGTTAAGGGACCACAACCCTGACATCGACTGTAAAGTAGGATCACTGAACTGGTGCTCAGACTTTTGTAAGGTGACTTGCCTGACAAAGCAGAGGCGGTTAGTTTATATGTCAGATGAGGACCTATTGGCTGAGAATCCCGAAAATATATATTGTCTTGGGACAATACAGTTTGCCGACGAGAAGGGTGAAGATATTACTATCCAACTTCTACCTGAGTATAAGGATTATAGAGACATCTTTAGTCAAGAACAAATAGAGGCTCTGCCGGTGCATTCTAAGTGTGATCATAGGATTGACTTAATGGCAGGAACAGAACCTCTATTTGGGCCTATCTATCTGGTATCGGAGAAGGAGCTGAAAGCACTGCACGAGGTTCTCAAGGAGATCTTGACAACTGAAAAGATAAAAAAATCTACTTCCACATCTGCAGCCCCTATATTATTTGTCCCAAAGCCTGATTGCTCATTAAGATTGGTGATAGATTACTGAGGGCTAACTAAGATTACAGTGAAGAATAAGTATCCTCTCCCGTTATTGAATGAGATGAGGGAAAGGCTTGCAAAAGCCACAGTGTATTCCTTGATAGACCTCAAAAATGGATAGTGGGGAATCTGTATGGCTGAGAAGGATATACACTTTCAGGAAGAGCTTACAGCTTTTGGTTGTCGGTACGGATTGTACTATTTTAAGGTAATGTTCTTTGGACTATGTGACACTCCCGCTACCTTTCAGAGTGTGATAAATGATGTATTCCGGGACATGCTAGATGAAGGCATCCTGGCTTATATGGACGATATCCTGATTTATTCAGAGACAATTGAGGAACACGTCGCTCTGGTAAGACGGGTAATGGAAAGAGTAAGAGAAGCCCGACAATGTGGAAGTATAAAAAAGTCATTCTTCCACAGGTGTGAGATTGATTTCTTCGGTTATCCGATATCCAAGAAGGCGATATTAATAACAACAGAAAAGCTGGATTCCATATTGCAATGGAAGCCACCAACTAATGTCGTCTGAGTCCAAGGCTTTATGAGCTTCGCTAACTTCTATAGAAGGTTTATAGAAGGTTTCAGCAAGATGGCGAAACATCTGACGGACCTTCCTAAGAAGGATGTCTGATTTGACTGGACCCCTGCATGTGATCAAACCTTCTGGGATTTGAAGAAAGTGGTCACTGCGGGGCCAATCCTAGTACACTTTGATCCTGTCCAATCCACTAGACAGGAGACGGATGCGACTGACTTTGCATTAGCTGGCGTATTATCTCAATTTTGTAAAGATGAAAAGTGGCACCCGGTGGCCTTTCCTAGTCGGAAGTTCCACCCAGCTGAGATCAATTATGATGTCCATGACAAGAAAATGACCATCATAGTAGTGGCTTGCAAGGAATGGGATCATTTGGTTAGGTTGGTAGAGGGTGAGATTGCGATCTATACAGATCACAAGAATCTGGAGTACTTCAATAAGACTAAAATCCTCAACCGCTGGCAGCATCGCTGGGCAGAATTCCTGCAGCCATTCAATTTCAAGGTATATTACCCAGAAGAAAGACTGAATACAAAGGCTGATGCACTATTGAGGTGTGGAGACCACGGCTGTAACCGGAGCTGGTACTCGGTTAGTTTGTTTTATGTTTTGTTTTAAGTATCGGTTGATACTTAGTTTGTTTTATGTTTTGTTTTAAGTATCGGTTGATACTTGGTTATTTTTATGCTTTGAATGAGTGAGAATTTATGATCGTACTCAAACACATGTACTTAAAAAGACCGCCGTCTTCCACTCTGGAAACGGCAGACTTCGACAGACAGTATTTTAATATACTCGGTTGAACGGTTATCTTTATTATCCTATTACACCACCGAAGCCTCCCTTAGCGAGCCTAGAAGCTGATAGTCTCCGGTAGACATCACTTCTCTCCTATTGTACCCGACAGCGTGATTAACGCCCCAGCGTGAACACGTTACGACGGCCCTGAAGGGGGGAGTAATTCGCTATCAGAAACACCAAAGCCATTTTTTCGCCCCAGACAATGGGTTGTGGGCCAAAAGCGAAACCTCTTACGTCCTCACTCATTGGCTGTCTGTCAAGGCTACAGATTGCAGTCAGCTTTCTTGGATGCATTACAGGGTCCTGCGAAAAAGGATCCTGCCTATATGAGGGACATGAAGGCTGTGTTAGTGGAAGACAAAGGAGTCGACTGCAATCTGACAATAGAAAGCGATACTCTTACACACCAGGATGTAACAGTAGAGCGAGACCTTCACCTTTACAAGAACAGGTAGTATATTCCTGACTCGCTGGATCTAAAAGACAAGATCATGCAAGCTGAACATCACTCCGGTATCACAGGACACGTTGGGACATACATGACGGTAGGTAGGGTTAGGGCTAACCTCTTTTAGCCTAAGATGGATGAGAGCATTTCGGACTATGTTCGACCATGTAATACCTGTTAACGGAACAAATCTATAAAGTATAACAAGTTTGGCTTGTTGAAACCTGTTGGTGTACCCTTGAGGCCATAGACAGAGATTTCAAGGGACTTGATAGTAGCACTACTGGAATCAGAGGGGTATACAAAAATTTAGGTAATCGTGTATAGGTTCTCAAAGATAGCTCATTTTTTACCTTTGACTACAGAAATCTCAATCAAGGATTTGGCTCCGATATTGCTGAACGAGATTTGGCGGCTCCATGGGCTCCCGGAATCTATTATCTCTGACCGAGATAGCCAATTCACAGCCAAGTTTTGGATAAGCCTGATGCAGCAGTCGCAACTGAAACTAATGTTATTGACCACTTTCTACCATGAGATTGTGTAACGACCCTACGTCAGGAGCTATGGCAACCTAAGTCTACGCCCATACGTAAGACCCGCAGGTCCTATGGTAGACTAGGCGGACATGCAAGAGTATGTCCGAGGGATATCCGATGGTCCGGATATCTCTAAGAGCAGAAGGTAGTTGAGAAACAAGTGTACCTAAGCAGTGGTAGTAACGTGACTTTGTCCGCTTTGGCCTAAGGATAGGTCAGAAGGCCGGGTAAGTTTACCCAGTCAAAGGACGTCATGTTACCCTACCATGGAGGCCAGTTTCGTGTCACCATGGATGCACTTACCCTATCTTTGGGATACTATTACCCTACCTTCCGTCGGAAAGGTTCTCGGAGTAATTCCGGGAACCGTTAGGATTATTTGTTACGCAAGGACGATCGACGGGCACTTGCTTGCACTTTGATCGGAAGGCTACGAGAGGAGCTATAGTGCTCCGAACAAGCTATAACTTGGTAGAACTATTCCTAACAGGTACCTGCGGCCCCAGGGTTCGCCCCGGGCGTCATGGGCCAAAATGGTTGAAGTTGCCGTCATACTAGTTAAATGGAGTCAACGAAGACATGTCCGTAACACTGTATGCGTCGTCGCCGTCCGTCCGACCGGAAGCTGTTTGCAGGATATATGAAGGGGGTGAAGGTGAAGGTGAGAAGGTCAAGTACCTTCTCCAAAAGGAACGGAGTAAAACGGACCAAAACTGACAGAGTTAGCGTGAGCTATCCGGAAGGGTCCCCAGAGTAGTCCCGGGTAGTGCCGGAGACATCTGGGAAGGTTTTACACCAATCAAGCCTACACGTGCCCCTTTACCGTAGACTCTTTGTGGGTTGTTGGAAGACTCTATTAGCATGATACTTATCACAGTGAGTGGTGTGCCGGGGGTAAGGGACCATGGGTAGCGCCCATGGGTCCCGCCACCGACACAGCTCTCTGCGGGAGCGTCGTAGACCCCCTAAGTTCGCAATCAAGAAAGATAGAACTTAACCGGGAGACAGCGGATGTCTACGGGAGCTTGCATAGGTCATAGCACATGGGATGAGAGTCATTTAGTTAGCTTTCCTAGGCGTCTCGACAGTTAGCCACTGGCGAGACACCGATGCGCAGAGTCTTCACTCCGGCAGGTGTATTGGTAAACACCTCGCAGAAACTGATGTGCATATAGGAGATTTCTGCTAGAGTGCGCTGACACCTTAAGCCCTTCGCGGGTAAGGAAGTGGTTGGGGCAACCCTTACCGAGAAAGGGCATACTCGTGTTGGTCGGGGTAACCTGATGGGGGAGTTTTTGGTATAAGTCTGACTACTTAAAGATTATACGAGAACTCTCCTACCCCGACACAATCAACATCCTCTCGAGAGACTTTAATTGAGATAAGCCTGAGCTTGACGATATTAAGTTTTACCGTTTACTTTTATTCTTTACACTTTACAAGAGTTGTATTCGAGAGATTCGAAGTTTGGTGCGGTCGCATCCTTAGGAACCATCTACCTGAGGGAGCCCCCGTTACAGATTGATGGGCAGACTGAGCACGCGAACCAGACCTTGGAGCAATACTTAAGAAATTATTGCTCTTATCAACAGGATGATTGGCCATTGTTACTCCTGTTAGTGGAGTATGCATATAACAGATCCACTGCCAAGGCTAGAAAGTTCTCTGCATTTGAGATAAACTATGGCTTTAATCCAAGGACCAATTGGTTGGGTATAGGCTCGGAACAGCAAGGTGTTCATTCCAGCAGCGAGCTGGTGGTAAAGAACTGGTAAGGTGCCTGGCAAGAAGTCCGCGAGACACTTAAGCAAGATCAAGAGAGACAAAGGAAATGGTACGACCAGAAAAGGTTACCATCTCCAGAATGCGTTACAATGGAAGATGTGACAAATGGCAGGGCAAAGAGGGGTGATGGCATGATGCTAAATTGAAAGAATATCCGTACCAAGCGACCCATGGAGAAGCTGGACCACCGGATGTTTGGACCCTTTGTGGTCAAACATAAAGCGGGAATTGAGCTTATGAACTCCAATTGCCTGCCCGATGGTCAATCCACCCAGTATTCCATGTTGGACTCTCATCAGCAAAAATTTCACTTTGCGTCCTGTGCATCCCGTGCATCTGACGCAGGGGACGCCCAAACGCAAACCCTTAATCTGGACGCCACGTCTGTGGGACGTCGCGTCCAGATTTGCCTTCCTCTTGCGCAACCTGTCCTAACCCTACCGGACGTGGATGCCGACGTCCCCTGCGTCCAGAGATTCTACGCTCTGTTCTCCTCAAGTCCGGAGATTCCATCCTTCCCTCTCCTTGCATCAGTAGATTCTCTGCTTTCTTCTCCTTGCATCCTGACTATCCCTTTGACCCTTTGCTACTTCCTGCTATCGTCTGATTCTGCTCCGTCCCATCTGACTTTGCCCACCCCCTGGCCTTTGACGTCCCCACCCTACTCGTCACTGGCAGCATTAATCCTGATATTTTAAACGACTCCTCTTAACTCTCCACATGACGACCCAGCACTCAAAGATCTGGATTATCTCCCGTCCAAACTGGTGGTCTTGATTTCTACTAGTACGCTCTGGAGACTTTTGCGCCAACGCCCCTTGTGCCCAGATCTTTCAACTTACGTACCGTTTGCGTCCCCTGGCGCTGGTTTCTTGGCCAGATTCTCCCGCTGCCAATCAATCATGATCCGGACCTTCGTGGCTTTTGGTTCTCACTACCTGATATTTCATGTCACAATACATCGTGGATATTTCCTCCTCATCCATACCTAACAGACTTATTTGCCTAATCTGGTGGGATTCCCTCTAGTTGACCCTGACGCTTTATGTACAATAGTATGCCGTCGCGGTGAAATCCAGACTACGTTCCCGTCCCCTCATGCACACTGGGTTCTACTGTGTCTCCGCGCAGTAACTCTTCTGATCGTGATTGCTCCAATCCTCCTTCACCCATAACCTAGTATCGACCTCACGAATTCTTCCCCCGCCTCTCCTCGGTGATAAGCAACTACAATGGGCCGCGGAGTCCGGTGGGATCCCTTTCGGCCACTACTCCGTGTTCCTCAGGTGAATACTCAAGACTAAGTAATAGCTGTGAGACCAGAGGAGGGCTGCTAACAATCTCTATCGGTTGACATGTGATGTCCTGAAGGGATCCAGCGATTGGATGAGATTCAAGTAATGGCAGTGCCACGGTAGCGGACGTCTGACCGAAACTTGGGGTGACATCGGTGTCCTGCGACTCATTTCGTCTGCCCCGCGGCCTCACTGGGACGAGCATGGGTGAATCAGGCACAGTGTCACTGTGGCAGGGGGGGGGTGGTCGCAATTCCAGGTTCGACTTCCGGCTCTCTAATTCGGCACTGACTGCGTCCCAGTCATCCTTTCAGCCTTCTAGTCGGTCTTGGTGGACACCGCGTTTTTGCATGTTCTTGTTGGTAATGGTTTGACGAATACTCTCAAGAATACTCTTCTGGATTCCCAGGGGACATTTCCGCCATGTCTCCGTCTGCCTAGCAATGAGGTCTCAAGTGTTTGGTGGAGGGTTAGCCAGATTCGTCGCACATGTATGCCCGATGATTCGTATATACTCACCTCCTACTAACTTACGCTTGAAGTCAGTTGGCTCGGTATAAGTACCAGTTTGCCACGCCGTAAGTGTATGACAGAGTATAGCGCACGTAAAGCAGACCATGGTACTGTTGATCACGTCTAGGAAATCCGGGTCTACTATACCCCGCATTTTCTTCCCTGCAAAGTACTTGCCATATATCGCCTCAGGGATCTGTAGTGCAAGGAATCGCAGTTTCACGCGCTGTCTTGTGATGGCTGTCCTCAGTGGTAGTCACATGTAATTGTATGGGAGCGTCATCTGCGGGAGTCCAAACTCGTACCCTTTGGGGTCGCACATAAACCTGTCCTTTTCCAGGAGATAATCAACCCTACGCGCCGTACCCTGGGTATCTTCTGGTAGTTCATATAACGCTACAATGTGATGCTTCACATGGTAGACGAATTGTGCCCTTACCCCCAACTGCTTCTGGCATATCTAACTGGATCAATACAATTTCCTGCTTCTCCCCATATCTAGCTGACTTTACTTACTAGGCCCACAATCTCCTCCGATGGTTCCATACGCCCGACACCTGGCGTCTTACTCACTGCCTCATCCCAGATGCTGTATATCTTAGCCGTCAAAGCAGCTGGATTCGGGATTGGGTTAACAAACAGAGTGTAATTGAGGATCAGCGACTTTGCCAGAACTACCACGGCAAACTCAGGTCCCACAAGTGTATTCCGACGTGTGCTGGCTACGGACCAGCCATTGTCGTGCGGTCTTGTGTCTAGATACCCAGTCGGACTAGAACCTCTGATAAGAGATGAATGTACACTCCCCTGGCCTGCTGGAGACGATATCCGAGCTAAACTCGATGACGGAAAGACTGGTGGACTGTATTCAGCCCCACCAACTATTCCCGGTGGCGCAGCTGGAATCCTCGGAGGATTTTCTGTCTCCGGTGATCGCGGGGTCGCCGATATACGAACAGTTCGAGGACCATCCCCATGGCGACCTTTCCCCACTTGTGATAGACGATGGCCGCCGGAGAGAGGCAGGTCTGCGATTTCACTGTCTTCTGGATCGAGGTCGGTCACGCATTCAGCTTCCACCGATCCCTGTGAGATTTGGCACTCTTCCCTGCTATTGTCGGACAGAGGTACTGGTTCAAAATTGGCTTGCCCGTCGCATTCTATTTCGGGTTCTATATATGGCATGGTCGGTCTGGTACTCTGACACACTCGTTTAGGTGGTCTTCTCAGTTGGGGTGTAATTGGCGGGGGGGGCGGACGCCAACGTGATGTCTGGTCATTAGTTAGAGTACTCGGGGAGCTATGAGAGTTGTTGTGCCCTCTCTTGGCCTCGATGTTCCAGATGTCGTAGGGGTCAGTCCAA